AATTTATCATTGAAATTAGGCGGCTGAAATTCTGCTCTAAGTTCGACAACTAACTGTGGCCAAGAATGAACCTGATTTCTGATGGACCTAAACCACAACAACGCTTTTCCTGTGAATAGATCACTTGCAGATCTATACAATTGGTCTTTACTAACATTTCGGGACAAACATAATTCCTCAACATTCTCCAGAAAAGCACTTAACGAAATTTTACTATTATCTCCATCAAATTTAGTAATGTTCCACTTTGATACTGGGACACCCTGTATAGGGGGAACAGACACTGGTACTGAAGGTACATTTCCTACTACGTCATCATCAGATTCTTCACTCTCTGATGAGCTGTTAATCCCTGTAGATGACATGAGAACACTAAGTTCTGAAGGAGTTGAAATTTGCTGAGATGATCTTTTGAATTTTCTAGCACGTGATTTAAGCTCAGACTGCAAATTTAAGAATTCTACTAGGAATTTAGATTTTAATCCATGATCCTCATCCTTAGCAACAACAGCTCTCTCTGCTCGTTTAAAAGCGTGAAGAATCTTAGAATTAACTTTCAAAAAATTTGGACTTGATTCAAAATCCGCAAAGTCAGAAACTAATCCCTGTAATTCTGCAAGCTTGTCCGTTAAATAAGAAATATCAGCATCAAAAGTGAAAACATTTGTCGGATAAACAGGGGGATTTGATGAATTTTCCAATCTTATATAGCCTCGTAGGCACTTCCTCATTTCCTCAACAGTGGTTTTATCAGTTACACCCCTAATTGCCAACTCATAAGTCAACTCCTCTTTGTCGAGTCTATTTATCTCCATTTTACCCTCCATTTTCTCAAACTTCAGCAATAATTTATACCAAAAAAAATTCTACCCTGTATAGCCAGGACAGCGAGCATAAAAATTTTTCTCAAATAGCTGCGAAAAATCTACTAAAAATATACTACAAGCATAGATCCGATAATCTGTACCTGTAAATGAAATAATATTTGAACATTCAAAGTATTACCAGATTACCACTAAGGAATATAGCACTTCAAGAAAAAACAACTGAACTCACTAAAAAGGAAGTCAGAGATACTAGACGTCAACAAAAAAAATAAAAAAAAATTCAAAAAATTTTTTTTTTTTTTTGAAAATCAAAAATTCTTTTTTTATTTAATGCCCCACGTTGGGCGCCAAAATTTGTAACAATCTTACTTCGAGATTGACAAATATATCTGTCCTTTGCTGACAGAGGATATGGGCTCGCGACTGAACTGCAGTGGAGACGGAGTGGGTTCAGATCTACTCAAAATAATAGATGTTAATAAGGGCGCCAGGTAAATGTGGACTGCATACCCTCACCATGATTCAATATTAACCCCACTTACCATGGTTAATATCTTATTTCAACAGCTATCGTTATCAAATTAAAAGACAAACATTTTCCCAATACTCTATACCATTTAATAATTATATTCTTGAAACACCTGACACAATAATACTGATTCAAGATTGAAGTGCTATCGATCTGAATATTACTAGCAACTATGTTCCTCAATACTGAATATTTTAAATGTTCAAATCAAAAACCTGACTGTATATCACCCAAGTGTTACATAATATTTAAATCCCAGTTTTATCCCATACCCTTAAAATCCACATAAAAACCCACCCAGAAACTAAATGTTCATAAATTCATAGGGATACCTATGCTATATTATAAATAATGCAAAATCATATGACCGACCCAGTTTATATACCTAAATCCGTAAAACGCAAGGTTGCAACCGTGCCTGTTACGTTAACAGGTGTATATCATAAAAAAAATCATAAGATAATAATCATGAACAATATGTCAAACCAAATGAAACATGATAATTCAGAACAAGATTATGAAAAACTTGCGTGACATCCATGGTCCAATCACAGGCTACAAGACTGGCTCAACTATACAGCTGCAGCTACCAGCTACAGAACAGGATACCAGTTACAAGACAGGATACCAGTTATCGGAACTAACATCAAAAGCAGCTCAAATTGTATACCATTACTATGAGTGCTCAAAATCCAGGCAAAAGGCTGGCTCAAAAATCGAACACAAGAATCTGTCACAAAAATCTGTCACAACAATCTGTCACAACAACCCTGAAACATAAGAAAGTCCTATACTCACTGGTTCCAGACTTCTGGAAGTTCATACCTTTTTCAAGGACGCAGTATCACTCAAAACTCAGCCGTATATACAAATAATTACAGTATGATCCCGCCTGGGAGTCCTGAAAGGGGGCCATCAGACATCAACATTCCAAAAGATGGATTTCATTCAAAACTTGACTAATACTGGTCTGAAAAGTATTTTAGCCATCAGTTCACTGATCAATTAATTCAGCTATCGACTCAATTTACCTTTTTCCCTTGAAAAAGGGTTTTCTGTACATGTGTTTCCAACCTCACTTTTTGTCAATGGCTCTATAATCCCATAAAAATGGACAGTTTCCGAAAATATATACCTCAAACGATACCTAAAAATTTTCCTACATGGAAACTGGTATTTGAGAGTGAAACCTAATCCCTCATTCAGAGGATGAATTTAAATTCAATATTATTGGCTTACAGCCATATTTCACTACTCATTGCCAAAGACTTCGAAGTACAAAGTGACAGCTTTCATTGATCTCCCTGGATCCACAAAAGCATAGAAACACCTGTCAGACCCGAACAAGGACAAAACGTACAGAACATGACAAACCTTGGTGTCTAAGCACTACCTGAGTTCTATAGACCTTATTATGACAACATCAGTCTGGGCATGATAACAATAAATTGAATATTTGGAGATGCATCACAGCTCGTAATAAACCTGTAACAGCAGGAAGTCAATTATCCAACCCATGACGTCATCAACCACTCAGCTACTCCAAACTTGCACTATATGGGTACCAAGGTCCACCATTCTCACCAAGCGAACGTCCTGTATCGAGGCAGTGTGCCCGCCGCAGCCACATACAATTCACGATACTGTGGTCCTGTTCAGCACTATCGAGTGAAATATTCACATCTCTAACCACCGATCAGCTGATCAACATAATGATCTAACCTAGTCACCTAGACCAAAACAAACCATCAATTTGATTGAAATTATTTCATAACTGATTCCGCTAGTCGATTTGTTCGGAATGAAACTATGTACAATATTTACACGATCTGTACACTTTACTGTGAGTTCTCTAATTTCGACATACTAAATATAGCGTTTGATGATCTCTAATTCAAATGAGATAGTCTTAGGTATGGAAACAAACAGACCCGAGTACTAGGAATCAAATTATGGCTAGCGAAGTTTAGGCAAGTAAGTAACCTAGGTACCATTATCATCTAAACCTCAACAAAGGTCACGATATGAGGAGGTTGACCAGAAGTTGATTAAAGAGTGCGATAGGCAATAAACTTTGAATCTTAGGTCTCCGCAGAATCAGTGAATCAATTTATCAAAAACGGTACGATAGCTAAAAGTGAACGTTACAACGCATTACCTACTATACTTTACCTACTGCCATATAGTACATCAAAAAAGTTTGAAAAAACAGTCTGAATTATAATTCTTGACAGTTATGTCATCCGCTGTTGACGGCGATTACGCGATCATGAGGGGCGAAATGAACGAAAACTGTGCGATGTGTTAACCGTGCGTAAGGAGCTATTTACTGAGGCTGTATCTCGTGTGTTCTTGCCTACTTTCTGTAGTGGCCGTAGGTAAATAATTTTTTTCAATAATTAAAATCAGCACCTTCGGAATACGCCATCTCTCGTTATCGTCATACACCTTCTCACGTGGCAATAGTGATATTTGTTGATATATTCCTCTATATTCCTCAACAACCAATGCTAGAATAACCACATATTCCGTCACTGCCAAGTTTATAACTGGTAATTACCTTATGAGATTCAATATGACCAATGACAACAGTATTCATATTCACAGAAGACAATGGTTCTATCTGATGATGGTTAATAATCACTTATAGAATACTTATATACATTGCAAGACGCTTCAGTAACAATTAAAATATCCTTATACTCCTAATAATGATCTAGATTTTATTTGAACCCAAACTATTTTGTGACCCTGGCAACACCGTGACGGTTAGAGTCTGTCACCTCCATCTTTGAAACCTATCATCTAGTCAATCCAGGGTCAAATCTAACAAATACTGCGAATGTTAAAAGATAATCCTCGTATTATCTCAATTATCTGATTCTTCAGTTGTGTGTTGTATTCTATGTTATCTGCAGTAAGTATTCAGCCCATTCGTCTCACAGAACTAGAGAGTGGACACGTAAGTCGATTCTTATATGATTGCATTGGATTGTTCACTGGTGATTTCGTCACGCGTATACACAGTGCGTTTAACGTGAAATATCCACGAAATACGTGAATATCAAGATGAATGTGCGAAATGTAAAAAGCTCAGAGGAAAAAACAGTTTATGGCAATGGACTAGTTGGGGTTAGTACCTCAAGAAAATGGATTAAAAGTTTTCACTGAAACAGGCCCATTTGGATTTTAGATAACATTTTTAGGAAAAAAAATATACCTTGTCGGAATTATTGTCATCGCGATTGAAAAGAAAACGAAAATGTTTCGAGATATCACATTACTGTTCAGGATTATGATAGAGAAATCATCTCTGTTATCATCCAGACGATTGGGACATTGTCATGTTCAATGAGGGCTAATATTATTTCATTATCCACCAGATCACGCTACTCATTGGTCAGAATTGGTGAATATACATCTTATTTCTGTGTCATCTGGTCTTCTTGCGATAACTTCTCCGCGGAGCAGAGCGGAGCGGTTGTTCATTATATAGATTGTTAACGATTGTGATTTTAGATTCAGTTTCACTTACATTTTTGAATTTTAATTTGAAGTGAAATATGATATTCCATGAAGAACCACATCCTACCTAATGTTGTTGCATATTTCGACTAACATCGACATTCTCTTCCGCTTTGCAGAAGAGGCGCGCAGCCGACAGAAAGCTGTCCTCGTCCACTGCCTAGCAGGCGTCTCTCGCTCCGTTACCGTCACCGTCGCCTACTTGATGTACAAGTGCTCGCTGAACCTGAACGACGCGTTCAACGTGGTGCGCGCCCGAAAACGGAACGTGGCGCCCAACTTCCACTTCATGGAGCAGCTGCACCGCTTCGAAAGAGAGCTGAAGCTGGACGTGGCTTCGCAGAGTCCGCGGGCTGTGTTGGAGCAGGTGCGCAGGGAGCAGAAGAACCGCGGCGACAGGTGAGCAGGAGGGAGATTAGGGTTTTTGTAGATGATGGGCTTAGAAGCGGTCGTTTTCCACTACTGGACCTAGAAACGCACGAATCCGTTTTGCCGGAACATGCTAAGGCGATTCGTATAGACCAACTAGAACAATCCGAGAGAAGGGCCTGTGTGTTGACAAACGTCTATATAGACACGGTGCAGCAAATACTCTAGCGGGCAACTGGCAACTGCTTGTGTTGTCTAAATTATATAATACCATATAATGATAGTATAATTTTCAAGTACCTACGTGGATCAGTTATTGTGCGTTTGAATTCCACGCCTGCGATCCGGGTTCAATCGTTACCACCAATACAACAAGGCCTGCATGCTCCGTGGGTGACGTCACTTAGTGAGGCCTAACCAGCGGCTCGAAACGACAAGCGCTTATAGCGCTATAAGGCGACCGCGTATTTCGATTTTAGTTTTAGATCATCATTAAGCCGATTTTGCTGTTTTTTGAAGGGCTTCCGGTTAAAAAAGGATGCAGTCGTCAACTGAGCCCTTCTTCGCACCCCATTCGATTTTATTATGGAAAAACGAAGTTTTAAAGCAAAAACCAGGATAAAACACAAATATCCACCTACAGTAACCCATTCGAATTAAATATATTGGCAAAAATTGTGGTGAAGGTAAACTTCACACCTACTTATGCAGGGCCCGCAGAACATAAACTTATCGTGAGATTGATCGAAAGAAAATTGTGTAAAATGTATTTTATTTTGATTGACATGCCGTTTGTTACAATTAACTATATTTATCTTGGAGAATTCCTATTACCTGAAAAAATAAACAGTGAGTGTTTTCAATTTTCTGTTGTTCGATTTTTCACCCAAGTGGATCGTTTAACCTGGAGATGACGGAGATCAAAAATCCTCCCTTTTATATTATTCTGCGATTACTTTCGTCAAAAAGACTGGAGTTTCGTGGCTGTGGTGACTGCTTCCGCTCCGTTGAGGTTATTATTTTAGGGTGTTCTCGTGGCACGAACTTATGGTTCCAGATGAAGTGACAATCGTTATACTCTACGACTACGAGGTACCCCTATTCGAACGACAACGAAAAAATGGCCGGCAGATCTAAAAACAGTGTTTACCATTACGTTTCTTGAACGTACACATTGTTTCAACATCTCATCTAAATAGTAATATTCAGTTACAGACATACCTCCTTCAAGAGATTGGCGTTTTCGTTGGTTTCACAAATTTAAATTCAACATAAATGATAACAAACATCTCATCAAGTCTTAAAATCGAATCTTCGGTAAACCTTGCCGTGGTAGCGAGCAAGTCAGCCGCCACACTCCCACCAGTCTCATTTCCGAAAAAGTTAACTGATGTATACTGGGTGTATAATAGTCGGGATCCTCAAACTTAATAGCCAATGAACTTCTTTAGTTTGCAAGTTGTAATCCTCACGCAGTCGAATCGTTTGATCGAAGTTATCGTTATAAAATAGGAAAGATAAAATATACTAGGCAGTACTGTTCGGGAATATCGCAACATGCTCCTCTAGAAATAATCATCAGTTCTACCAACCTTGTGATTTTCATGAGTACGGTACAAAATTATGAAGGAATGTGCATTGCAGGTCGGACCAGAAGAAGGCGAAAAAGATCTGCCAGAACTGCGGCCTCAAGGACGACTGCAAGTGCCGGCAGCACAGCGACTTCCTCAGCCCGCTGGCCCAGATCGGCGTCAGCCCGGACTCGGGCATCGAGTTCGACAGGTGGGGCTCCGGCACTCCGGGCGAATGAGACGCGCAGGGGGGGTCCCGTTGGCACTTTTAAAGCGGTACTTGGAACAACCCGGGGTCTATTCTCGCACCATTCGAATTCAATTCGTATACGAATAGAAAATGATGGACTATGTTGTGTATGTTGAAGTAACAGAACTGACCGTTTTTTGTGCACTTCTCTGTATGTCAGAAGTGACATAGAAGATCGAATTTGTTTACGAATTGACTCGAGAATTGATCCCCAAGGTCGTCGATATCCTGCGTAGTGTCATTGGCATCCTCCCTCGTCGTCGAGTTGTTTTTTTGTGTGTTTTGTAAATATCATGCGTGGCTGAGTTGCTTGGACGGGTTCAGGATCTCGTTCGCATGGACTGCCAATCATACATTCTTCAAGTCATAATAAATTATTGAATTTGAATAAAAATAGTACCTATCATTCAACTCTTTTAATATTCAGGAACAAGAAACACTAAGTTATCTCGACAAATTAATTAATATCCGAATTATCTGAACATATTTCGGATTATCGTCAGTCCATCATCGGCCGAAGGGTTAGAAGAAAGTCTGTGGCCGTGAAAAGGCAATAGCATTGTTAAAATATAAAACAATGTGGTTATAAGTAATAGAGGGCAATGTGATCACATCCCAAAAGGAAAGGGAATGGGATCAATGAAATATATCTCAGATCGTTTTCACTCTCATCTCATCACAAACTCTTATCATCATAGTGTGTTATTGCTTACACTAACAGTGAGAATATGACCATGTAGAGCTCCGTTCTGTAATGATTTCTTGGTGGCATTTCAATTGCGGCAACTGTCAACTAACAGTTGAATTTTGAATTCTGATCATTCTATCAATTATTTCTTGAGCATTTCATACTCCAGGATTTTCTTGACGTGTTGACTATATCATGGAAATTGTGAGCATAGAGTTCGACAGATGGGGCTCCAGTACTCCGGGCGAATGATACGCGTAGGGGGGGTCCCGTTGGCACTTTTGAAGCGGTACTTGGAACACCCCTGGGGTCTAATGTTGAACCATTCGAATTCAATTGGTATAATAGAAAAAGATGGACTATGTTGTAACGTATGTTGAAGTTACAGAACTGACCGGTTTTTCTGCATTTCTTCGTATGTCAGAAGTGTGTTGAAGTGACATCAGAAGGTCGAATTCGTTTACGAATTGACTCGAGAATTGATCCCCAATGTCGTCGATATCCTGCGTAGTGTCATTGGCATCCTCCCTCGTCGTCGAGTTGGTTTTTTGTGTGTTTTGTAAATAACATGCGTGGCTGAGTTGCTTGGACGGGTTCAGGATCTCGTTCGCATGGACTGCCAATCATTCATTCTTCAAGTCAACAAATTATTGAATTTGAATAGAAATAGTACCTATCATTTAACTCTTTTAATATTCAGGAACAAGAAACACTAAGGTTTCTCGACAAATTAATTAATATCCGAATTATCTGAACATATTTCGGATTATCGTCAGTCCATCAGCAGCCGAAGTGTTAGAAGAAAGTTTGTGGACGTGAAAAAAAAGGCAAAAACATTGTTAGAATATAAAAAATGTGGTTATAAGTAATAGAGGGCAAAGTGGTCACAGCCCAAAGGGAAAGGGATCAATGAATTTCCACTCTTATCTCATTACAAACTCTTCAAATTCGTCAATTTACGTTAAAGGGACCCTAGTTTAGACTATCATGGACATTGTGAGCATAGAGTTCGACAGATGGTTCTCCGGTACTCCGGGCGAATGAGACGAGCGGGGGGTCCCGTTGGCACTTTTGAAGCGGTACTTGAAACACGGGGGGCCTATTCTCAGTTCGACTTCTATATCTATTAATATTTGAATTAAAAGATGATATTCGTGTACGACTGAACTGGAGAATAGATCCCCAGATCTATCCTGCGTACTGTCATTGACATCCTCCCTCGTCGTCGAGATGGTTTTTTGTGTGTTTTGTGAATAGCTTGCGTCGGTGAATTTCTTGGACTGTTCGGGCTCTCGTTTGAATAAACTGCCAATCGCACTATCGTTGAATCATAAGGGGATATTGAATTAAAGAAAATTGTGGATTGATAGTATCATTCAACCCTTTTGTGTCCTCAGGGGACAGCTTATTCTAATAGAATTTTTATTCAAACTTTTTCCAGGATAGAGTAATACTGAAAATGAACATGCTTGCATCCATGAAAATGAATATTCTTTATGACAGTGAGAATATGTTCGTGTAGAGCTCCGTTCTGTAGTTTTTCTTCGTGACTTTGTTGTGTAAAGTGTAAACAGTAAGTAATTAATACTTCAAGATTTTTTTGGTGCCTTGTGGACATTGTGAGTCAACGGTACAGGTTGTCTATGTCATTCCACTTTTCAATATAGTATGTAAAGAATGGCCAAAAGACCTCTTACTGGTGAGGAACTCTTGTAGTTGACTGAATAAGTGTTTTAAGATGAAATATGCCCATAAGGTGATTGCATTATATTTAGTATGACGGAGTTCAGAGAATTTTCATCAACACCTTGTCCTTTTTTGGGGACATGCCTTCAAGCCCAAAGGGTCATTCCGAATTCATGAATGCATACCGAACATTTGGAAAAAATCAAAGAATCTATATGAAAAATTGTTGGATTTTTGTTACCTGACCAAGTTTGAGGTTTGCAACTGCCATCGCACGCGCATTCGTCGTTACAACTTCTGCATTTGTAGAGGATGCTAATATTTTTCTATTACAACTTCTGCCTTTGTAGAGGATGCTAATATTTTCTTTTCTTTACAAATTTGCGTGTGTTTTCATTTACCACTGGCACTACTCGCAGTCCATCTGAACGAAGAGAGAGTCCTGAATCGTCTGAGCTGAGTATTCTGTTCCAAGCAAATTTATGTGAATGGATTTTGCGGCTGTTGATTTTTCCGAGCGTTACTCAATGATTTTTATTCATTAAATTCAAGCGAGGGCCACTTCTTTGTAATCCCTCGTTTTTTAATAGAAGAATAGGAAACTGCACTAAAGATGTCACTATCTGTCTGATAGTTGTTTTTATTACCCAGTTTGAAATTGGTCATTCCAATAACCAGAAGAAAATGCACCTACCTTATTCGACGATACTCATGATCCCATTGTTTGCGAACCTTCAAATGAATAAAGACTGTACCTTCTACTTGAAATGTGTTATTTCCACTCTAGTTAGATATACAGAGTGATTCTATTATTTTTCAAAAAAATTAAGTGAGTGGAAAATGTCAAAAAGACATACTAGTTTATGTACTTCCAAGTAAGGTTCGTTGAACTACAGTACGTTGAAGCCCTAGGTACGCACAATTTTCTTCGAACATTGTAGGGATTCCCTGTCGTCCGCTCCAAGCGATAAAAAAATGATTAGCGGTTATAATTATTGCAAAAACATACAGAGTGTCATCTATAATCAAGGGATGACTGCATATCTTTTCCTTTAATGTATTCCTGGCAAGAATAATAATGATGGAAAATTTTCTGACATGCTTTCCAAGATATCTTGATAAAACTGAATCGCCCTGATGCACTTCAATGTTCTGTATCTTCTCAACAAACTCTTCTTGAAAGCATATAAACTAGTATGTATATCATTCATATTTCTCAAAGTTCCATCGCTCTCTGTATTTTTTTTCAAAAAAGGAGAATTAATTTCCTGTATTATACTAATTCCTCACATTTTGCAAGGTTTATACATAAATACATTTCAGATTCTATACCTACTTTATATTGTGTTGATGTATGAAATTCAAGGTGAACGAAATTAAATTGGTGTTTCCATCAATCCTGATAATAATATCAGAAGATTTCCACAAAATGAGGTATATAGAGTGCTCTATTTAAGAAACCCTTTAAGAATTTGTTTCTTCAACTATCCATATTTGCAATAGTTCAATAATTTTCTTACATAATTCTTCCTACTTTACAGCTTCCAAAACCCTCAAGTATTATATAATACTTCTGAAAAATGCCTGGCTCCCAGTATTTTCTCAATAAGATTACTTTTCTTCCACAATTTCTATACAACGTCTATTCTATACGATATCTCTTTGATGATTAGATTGGAGAAGGATTATTTTCGTGTGCTATTGCGCTTGAATTCGGCCGTTTTGAAATTTAAAATCAAGAAAAATTGAGTTTTTTGACTTGTTGCATCTTTTTTGAAATGGCGTTTTCTTCGATAAATTTTATCTTTCCGTCGGTTTAAAATACGAATACTGTTTCATGGAAACAACAAAAAAATAGTGGATTTCTGAAAATATTGTTATTCTAGATAATTTCAAAGTTAATTGTTTTAATTGGACTGATAGGAAAGAAAAACGAAACATATCTGATAAATTGCAATGAAAATGAAAAACGTGTTGTTGCAATATCGAAGGTTTTTTCCTTTTCCATACCCAATCTATGTAGAATGGAAAAATAATTAATGTACCAGGTGGCACATTGTGAGGTACCACCCGACATTTATTTTTGACAGTAAACAAATATAAAAGAACAACCTTATCAAATCAATATGAGATGCAGAACTATACATTGATCAAGTCGGCATTCTATGAGAAAAATCTTCAATAATGATTCATTTCGAATTTCGGTTTGGGCGTCAAGTTTTGCTTCGAAAAATATGAAAATTGGTCAACTCTGTCGTAGTCACGTGACTTTCGCTGCACATGTAAAAAGTTTTTGATTTTCTTCAAATTAATCACTGAAAATAGGTTTATTTCTTTGAATTTCGAAAAAATTCACAGAAAAATAGTTGTTCCTATTTCAATTCTAAATATTTATGTGTCTCGAATTTGAACGTTATACAGGGTGGTCCGGTTTGTAATACAAAAAAATCAAAAGTGTGTTGTACCTACTCGTCGAAATAATAAAAAAAAATTATATAAACATAATACTTTCAACGCGTTGTCTTCGAGATATATGGTGTTGAAAATACGAGTCTGAATATTGTTTCTTGATGAAAAGTTCGAATCGGTTTGGGATAAATGATACATCAACAAAATTTCTCACAGATACTAAACTTTTTACGTTCTA